GCAACCGCGACAGGGCGAATGGGTGCTGCCATCCGGGAAGCAGCTTGTTGAGGCGGATGGCCTTTGGGGTATCTTCCCTGACTTGACGCTGGGTGCCTGAGTCGATGCAGCCAACCCACTCCCGAACGCAAGCATGGCGCGCGACCAGACGCATCTTCGATCTCAGACAACGGTGAGCTTGCTGACGACCGGGCCTCGTCGCCCGTGGTGAGACTCGGCGTCCTTTGCGTCCACATGGAAGCTCGCAAGCACCACGAGGCTCGTTCCTGCCGCGAAGCTGCCAGACCTCCTCTTCGTGACCGCGGGAACGATGATTGAGGCCTGGCCTTCCACTCGACGCCCTTGTGCTGCTCCCCAAGGATGGGGTGCGGTGAAGCCACTGGCAGTATCTGATGTGCGTCGAGCATGCCACAGGGCCGGGCGCAACGATTGTTGGACAAGGTCCTCCTGAACACGGCTGGTAGGACGCGTTCGTGGCGCCGATGGCGAATCCACACTGCTGTGGTGGGACTGAAGCACCGCCTGGAAAGCCTGATCGTCATGCAACGCTTAGCGACCGGTACCTGACATGAAGCGCGCAGCTTCGTGATTCCTTGTGTAGCATGGACCTGTGTCTTCCTTCTGGACATCAAAGTGCCCGCCGACTCATCTTAGCCCGTGCCGCGTATCGTAGCCATGCAAGGGCACGTGAGTCGCCACGCACACGTGGCTGATGTCGAGAATAGACGGTGCTCCTTGCATGAGGGTCGTCGACCACACTCCACCACAGATGCTGTCCTGGCGCCTGTCAGCCACGTTCCGACAGCCTGGATCAGGTCGCGCACGGCATCGACGAGTGTGGCGCAGTGCGACGGTGGAGTCGTCGCGTGTCACACGCAGTGTCAGACCTCATTCACAACATTACCCGTCCCCAGCGGCGTCATCGGGCGGAAGCTGCGTGGAACCAATGTATGAAGGGAGGGTGCACAAGGAGCAGATGAACGGAAGCGAGGCGGGTATTGGCTTGACATTCGGCGACCTCGTTAACAGCTGAGCAAACGTACTATGCATGATATCTACACAAACACCCCCCCGCCCCGACCACATCGTGCGTCGCATCGGTTGGGAGCGACGAGCTGCGATGCCATGCTCCATTATATATCAGAACAAAGAATGTAGAAACAACCCCCTCCCCGGTCCCTTTGACCCCGAGAGAAGAACGCCGGCTTGGTGTGGTATCGTGCCCGCGGTACGAGATGATATGGAGAAGCACTGATCGCAGTCGGTCGAGCGTGTGTGCATCGGTCCTGTCGAGGCTCGAGGGGAAGGAGGCTGCCGTGCGCGCGACGCGTCTAGAACATGCGGATGGGCAGGCTGCGCTTGGCCTTCTTGTTGGCCGAGCCCGTGGGCCCGTTGGCCGCGTTGCCGTCGGCGGTGCAGTTGGGCACGAAGACGCCGAGGTTGACGAGCCAGGCGCCGCTGTTGAATTCGGAGTAGACGGTCTTGATCACCCAGGGCTCGCTGCCGGTGGTGTCGCGCACGACCTCCATGACGATGTTGCCGGTGATGATGTTGGGCTTCTGGGCGGACCGCCAGCGGATGACGACGGGGCCCTCGCAGGCGTACCACATGTTGAGGATCTCGAAGGGGATGTTGGGCTGCGAGCCCTGGCCGGCCTCGAAGGCGGCGCGGCCGGTGAAGGTGGCGCTGCCGAGGGCGACGGGGCCGGCGCAGCCGGAGTTGATGAGCTCGTTGACGCCGTCGGAGTAGTCGGAGAAGTCCTCGGTGAGGAAGATCTCGGCGCTGGCGTTGGAGTAGTCGGAGATGAGGGTCTTGAAGTTGTTGGCCACCTTGGTCGCCTGGTCAAAGGTCATGCAGGTGTCGTTGCAGTCGCGCTTGTTGAGAATGGTCGGGACGGCGAGGGCGCCGACGGCGAAGGCCGCGGCGGCGATGATGGAGCTGCGCATGTTGATGGGTGGAGGTTGAGGTGGGTGAGGTGAGGTGAGGTGAGGTGTTGGAAGGGTGTATTAAGGGTACTGTACGCTCTGAAGTTGCTGTAAACGAGAGTTGGTGAAGTTGAGAAGCAAAGAGCGGCAGGAGGCGACTTTCTTTCGTAAAAAGGCGACGACTGGATGGGACGGAGGAAAGCAGGAAAAGCTTCACGCGCCGTGGCCGGTCTTTTGTTCCCATACGCCAAGTCAGGCCCAGGAGAGCGCACGCCTCCGCCGTAGCCCAGTTTGAAACCGCAATCAAACTATTTCGGGCGCCGACCCATCCGCCCACCGCTGCTTTGGGCAAGCGGGCGGGCCGCTGACCTGGGCTAAACCCACCGGCGCTGGCCGCGCTGAGGCTGGGCAGGGGACGCCCGCCGGCAGGGGGCTGAGAGACTGGGAGACAGCGGGCGCGACCGCGCAGCGTCAGGAGACCCGCCTCCACGGCTTCTCCCTTTCGCGTCGCCTATTCGATGCGCTGGGTGCGCCAAGACAGGCCTGCCCAGCAAATTGGATGCAGGGAGCAGCAGTCAGCCCCCAAGCGTGCTCCGTCCCGCGGGCTGGGGGGGGCCACCGCTGCATGGCAACGCCCGGAAAGGCATGGCGGGAGATCCGCTGGGTGCCACCACGCGAGATTGTGCATGTGTACAGTCGAACTACCCTCCGCACGTATTCTCCGACTGCTGCTCCCCTTCTCGCGGCGCAGGCCGGTCACCGTTGCTGCAGCCCGCCGACGCACATGTGGGCTGATGATCCAGTCTGTTGTTCGGTCGCTATGCTGCACCGTGTCAGCACCAACCTGCCGCAGGACCGTCGCCGTGTCTCCAGGAGCAGCTTATTCGGGTGGCGGCAGCTAGCCCTCGCAGCGTCTTAGCGCGCCACTGCGCCGGCCACAGTGAACCGAGCCAGAGGCTGAAAGGAGAAACGCTCCGACTAGATATAGGAGGCTGATGGCGGGGCTTGGTGTGGAGTCCGTCTGCACAAGCGGACTTGTCGGGGTTGCGCGCGCTTGTGAGGATTACCGCTGTGCGACTGTTCCCCACGCGCCTTGTTCGCTCAAGAGATCGCGACAAGCACACGGAAGCAAGAGTGGTTGATCTGGACTGCGGAGACGCCAATGCCCGGTCTACATTGCTGAGGTGATTCTCATAACAAGCACGCTGACACGCAGAACCCATGTTCCCACCTCATCATCCACCATGCACGCAGCGACGACGGGTCGTTGGACATGCGAAAGAGTCCAAGGCAGGCGCAAAAGCTCTATCATGACACACGGGTCCACGACCAACGTGCACCCCTCAACACCCTCCCACGACGACGGTCTCGAGCGAGCGCTCACACCAATGCGTATGGTCTGGTGGTGCGAATCACCCCCAGGTGCCGCATCGAGGACAGTTCCTGCGCCATTCAAGGCATACGCCGTGAATCTCCCATCCATCCGAATGTCGGATCGTCACGAGACGACGACACCGACGAGTCGATGAGCATTGGCCGCGCACTCATTGCCGAGATCCCGTGGAGAGCAGGTCGGCTTGCGTACCGAGCATGATGACTCTCAAGCATGACCCAGAAGTCCGCGCGGTCGCACTTCCCAAGCCGAGAGCGCTGGCATGTCAATGAACGACCAGGGTAACTCCGCCGCTTTACACTCCCGTTCGACTGGCCCCGTCCAGAACGCAGCTAAGTCGCGATACCACTTCCACCATCCGCGCCTCTTTACTTTGCCTTGTCTCGTTCCTTGGTATCGACTCTCATCTCTCCTATGTCTGACTGTTTGCGGGCAACCGGAGATCGCGTGCGCCGCGGCGCATACAGTAGTACGCTGCTTGATCGCTGCCATTTAGTCCAACGTAGCACGATGGGTTCCAGATGGGGACGCGCTGCATCCGGCCGCATCCGCTTGAAGAGTCTTCCCCACGGGCTGCACGCTGGCTACGATGCATACGGGACTCCTAAGCCTGGACGCTCGATCCGACGTCTTCACCTTCAGTCCTTCCGGGCCTGCGACCCTATGAGCGTCATGGGCGCCCGCAAAAGACAGGGGAGCGCCCGCGGACAGCCTGCTCCCGGAACCCCGACTCGATCACCACATCGCGCGGGCTGGGGTCGGGGTGCGACGGCACGATGTCGCGCTTCGCCGAATGAGGTCTTCTCTGCTTTGTTCCCCGATCTGAGCCCATCGCGATCTTTCTCGCCATCGACGGAAGGCTGCTGAACCTGGATCACCCTTCCAAGCGATGCCGGACCTGACAAGATGCCGCCGAATGTTTGCTCGTTGAACCTGCACTATTGCAGACGGCTCCTCCATATATCACGACGATCGTCGATGGCTTGTCTGGCTCCTCCACAACGCCGCTCACGCCGAGAGGGAACACTAGCGCGCCATGTCCGATCAGCCCGCCTCGTCGTCAGACACCGACGGCTCCGGCATCCCAGCTCCAGACGAGGAGATATCCCAGGACCCGACGCCAGCAGAATCGCCACCAGGCCCCGCGCCACCCCCGACCCTCCGCCAGCTCCTCTCCAACCCGCAGAACGAGACGCCCTACCCCAGCCGCCTCGCCCAGCGCACCTTCCCAACCGCCGAGCTGCGCGCGGAGATCGACCGCATGGCCCCTGTGGTCCTCACCCAGATGCCCAATTACCTCCACGAGGGCTCGACGCCCGAGCTGAGGATGATGGCGGGGAAGCGGGCCAAGTGGGTGGGTCTGCGGGCGCACCCGGAGTGGCTTGACGGTGCCGGGGAGGACCTGCTGAAGGTTTTGGTGGCGGACGCGTACTGGGATCTGGAATGGGTTGGGGGGGAGTGGGAGACGGATTGCTGACGGGGGCGGGGTTTGGGAGTCGCGGGGCGTGACGCTGGGGATGGGATGCGCCGCTCGCTTCTGTCTGTTCATCTGGTGGGTCGGGGATGCTAGTTTCGGGCTGCAGCAGGATGTGATGGAGCCGTAGAGCGTCAGCAGGGATGAGTTGCGGCTTGGCGCACAAATTGCAGCCCATATATCGCGTGAATTCTGATTTCCTGCGATTGGCTTCATGGTCTAGTGGTATGATTCTTGCTTTGGGCTTCCACCTAAATTGCAAGAGGCCCCGCGGTAAGTTTCAATTGCTGTAGTGATTCAAATCCAGCCCTAATCTGGATTAGTTCGAATCGCGGTGGAGCCCATTGATTGATAGTGGTCAATTTTTGATTGATTGACCACCAATCGATTGATGTGCTTGAATTGTACTTTTGCCCCCGACACCATCCACTCGGGGGCGTTGAAGTGAGAGCACCACCTGCAGCGTGGAATTTAGCAGCCTGCAAACATGGGTAGGTGCTCCACCTGCTTTTGACCTATGAAGAAGTGCTCAATAACTAGGCCACTCCCTTCCCTGTCTCTATCCACGTGTACCGCCAAGCCCATGGCCTTGACCCGCGTTCTCATCTCTCGATGGCCAAGGCTGGACCCCTCATGTAGCCTCCGTCACATTCATCCATCGAGTCCCCAACCTCGAGCCTCCGACGCCG